ATTGAGAGTATAAAAATAAATGGGGATTAAAATGTAGATTTATACATTAAAATCCATCCACAATGACGAGATATTAGTCTGAGTAAAGCCAAATAAATTGTTTAAGCATTTTGTTCAAAAAATACACTGTGTACCTAACAACTTAGAACGAACATATAGCAAGTTACAATAAAAAATAGTCACTTCACGATACCAAAATGTTAACATAAAAAGTAGGTTTAAAACTAATTCAGAGGAATATTATATTTAGGGTCAAAGAGATTTTGGAGGTGGATGGGTATAAACATAACTGGAGGTACAACTTTGGATTTATGGGAGAAAAACTCTTATGGAAGTGGGCCAGTTTAAAATTAAATGGGCAAAACTTTGGGTTTATAAGCCAAAAATTCGTCTACAGTTTGCGATATTAAATTCAGTGTTGAAAAAAAATGCTTTAAATATTTGGTTTAAAGAATACTTCGTATAACTAACCACTGACAACAAAATTTAGCAAGTTACAAGAATAAATCACAACACATTATATAATGAACTGCTAGAGTACAAAGTTAATTTTAAAGCTTCTTCGCCTAATGAACAGAGCCCACTCTATTTAAATGTCAATTGGTGGATCAATAAGCCCGCCTTAGTCTCAAACAGGGCGCAAGGAAAAAATAATTTGGTGAAGTAATTTGGTTCTAAGAGTGAATTTGGAAGAAAGTGGGTTTAAAAATAAATGAGGGAAGTTTGGGTTTATAGGGAAAAACACTTTTTAGAAAGTAGATGAGTTTAAAAATAAATGGTACTGAAACTTTAGGTGCATTATCTTGGGTCAAAGAGTGATTTTAGAAGTGTGTGGGCAAAAAATAAATGTGAGTAAAGCTTTGGGTTTATAGGCAAAAACTCATCTACTTTTAGATGCTGCGACATTTGTGTGAAAAAAGCTAAAAAATAATGGTTTAGGTATTTGTTTTAAAAATCCACCATATACTACCACTTAGAAAAGAAATGTAGCAAATTAAAGTAGAATATAATAACTTACATCGTTCACCAAACTCTTTAAATACGAAGTAAGTTTAAAGTAAGATAATTTGTTGGAATACTTCAGATTCGGAAGCGGGTGAGTCAAACTAAATCAAGGTAACACTTTTGGTTTATAGGTTCAAATCCCTTTCTTGAGTAAGTTTCAATACAAAGACGGGTAAGACTTTGGATTTATAGGCAAAAACCCCTTATATTGCTTCATATTATATTATTAAATTATTTATTCTTAAGGTTGATGAGCATTTTGGACCAACAAACGTTTTGGAAGTTGATGGACTTAAAAGTACACTGATTTACAATTTTGGGTTTTGATGTGCAAATCTTAAGTTGACGAGCATTTTGGCCAAAGAGTCAAATTGAGGGGTTTAAAAGTAAATTGGTCTACAATTTCAAGCTTATGTGAAAATTTGAAGTTGAGCATTTTGGGCTTAGTGTGGGTATGGAAATTGATGGGCTTAAACGTAAATTACATTTTTTTGGTTTATGTGCGAAAAGCCCTTTGTTATATACCTTTTCTATGATTATATCTATAAAGCTATTGGGGTGCACTAGCTTCTACAGCCCAATAGCTTTAGTTAATAGATAAATGCTATGGATTTTTTTTCTTCTCACCATTATCTTCTCACCATTATCTTCTCTAGGTAAATAGTCCCCACAAAAAATGGAACTTTCTCGGTCACTTAAATCTAATAGTCCTCTCTCCTCTTCCTCAATCAATCAGCACCATTTAGCCGTTAAGAAAATAAAGGTACTGAACTTATCTTGCTCCTCTCCAAATTCAACTGCTATAAACACAAGCAGAATCATGCTGTTATATGCAAAATAAAGTTAATTAACTGAGACTTTCCTTTTGCTTCATTGGATTCAACCAAATGTTTTGTTCAATCAATTTTGCATCACTGTAGACCAACAAATCCAAAGCATACGAGCATGTAAGGTGTCGTTGAATTGCTTCCGCATGTATATAATATACAACAACAAGATTGGCATGGACATGAGATATAAAGATGTCAAGAAACAAATCCTTAATATCCCCTTAAGCTAAATTATAAATCATAAATGCAAATGCATAATCGACGAACCACATGCTGTTTTGATTAAGATAACTTTATCATAGACTGAGAAGCCAAACAAGTGAGAAATTACCCTGCTTGGTTTGTGGTGAAAATTGTAGGCTTTCCAAGCACCGGGGATTCCTGCTAATAGAAATAGATTAAAGAATGCAAATGTACATAACAAAGATGAAGATACAAGCTGAAAACAAATCCAATTAACGAGGAATACTGCAGGCCAATTAGCAAAAGTAGCAAGCCCATTGGTGACCCAAGGGCCAAGATAGACAAACTGAATGGATAGAAAAATAAAATGAAAGGGCATGTTTAAGACAAAGTTATCCTAATAAATGAATCATTTAACCACCACTAAAATGGAAAAAAGTATCAGTGAAGTTCTATAACACAACACTAGGAATACTATGTAAGCTATGTTACCCAGGTACTCCTGTAATGAAGCCGTACCCATACTAGACACGTACCCGACACTTTCTCATACCCAAACTTCATGAACACTTCTTGAATATATGCATGCATTTATTACAACATGTACTCAATTATATGAATATGTGTTAATTTTAAATACTTGTCAAACACTTCTTGGACGTATAGCTTACACTTCACATCCATTTCTTGAAACTAGTTAGATATGGGTCGGGTTAGTTTCAGTCCATACCTAAGTTCAAAACTATATAGTTAAAAGGGTAGTTTGGATGTCTAGTAAAAAATGAGTAGTTTCCAATTTATGACAATCTATATGATAAAAGAAACTTTAAAATGTGATCGGAATTTTAATTCTAATGACACATGAACACGTAAAAAAAATTAATCTCATGTACATTATTATTATTATTATTATTATATATATCTGTGTCCTCGTACCTTACATTTTACAATTTTGCAGTGTCCCGTATCCGCACCCGCTTCCACGCAACTTAGGGTGTAAGTGATGTAAGTCTATGAAGATGAAAGAAAACAACAATGTCATACCTCATATTCCTCAATTTCATGGCCTTCAATGACTACAACATTAGGATTGTCATTAGGAGGCGGTCGGAGGAGCTCCTGCGCCTGTTCCCATGTTACTTTTAGCTCAATTGAGTCCTCACTTTCAATCCTTAAGCGTTTATTTCTTGAACCAAGATTACCGCCTTTCCTTCTACTTGGGCCATGAGAAAGTTTAGTTGCAGACCCGTCTTTTTGAATAAATCCATTTTTGCCAAACTTAGACAATATGGCCTCATCTGTTGTATTGGATGAGCTTTTTGATTCTGCGCCAACCTTTTGAGACCGAAAAGGGCCATTTTCGCTGAAGTCAGTTGCATTTTTGTTATTTTCTGGAGGTGTTAAAAAACCATTACCAGTTTTAACTGTTTGTGCATCCTGTAAATGACATTGAAGGTTAGAAACAAAAAACCTCATAAGGATTAAACTAAGGTTAAATACTTCACAACAATTTAGCCACAACCTACAGTGAGGAAATTTGATAGAGAGAAGAATTCCATCATTAAGGAAGATTGCCTACATAAATTACCTGTTCGGATGAGGCATTGGAAGCTTTCCTAAATCCCATGACCAACTTCCCCTCCGGATCTATCCGACTGAATGTTACTGCAGAATCTCATTCAGTATTTTCCAATTAGATTTCTGGCTTTTTTATCTACAACTAAAACCTCGATTGCAAATTCATTTGACAATACCAGATATTAAGGTTAGAGTAGGAGAAAATGGGCTAAATAGGATAAAGAACAGACGCATAAATATGCGTTTCTTGTTTAGTATGTGACAGAAGTAGCCATCCTTCCCCAAAAAGAAATCATGATCTAATGAAATAAGATGGCCTTATTTTGATAGAGTTAATAATGGGAAAAGCTTGAAAGGATTAACACAGAAACATCATACATGAAACCATACCGAATTGAATGCATAAGTTAAGTGCAACAATGAAGAGCAACATAAGGGGGTAAAGCAGCTTAAAGTGAGGAAAAAAATATGGTTACAGAACAGATAATTGCAGTTTCATCATAATACATTGGAGTTCGAAATGAAAGATAAATCAACTTTTTGAGACAGTAGAAGATAAGAAAATTATGGGTATGAATCGAGAATTGAAAACTTTTCAAGCAGAGCAGGAGATTTGTTTTTTCTTTTTTAATTTCACTTTATTTATTTACTCATCGGTCAGTGAGTAAGAAAGCCTTCGGAAAGTTATCCATGAATTTACCTGTGTCGCCTGCTTGTAATTGCATTGACTGAATGCAAGGAGTAACTCCCTCCAAGACGTACATCCTGCTGTTATTATTTGGCCAGAACCGGAACTGAAACGCCCACTCTTTGCCACTAGCATCCTGAACCTTTAAAGGAAGTCCTTCAGGTTGAGATATTGGAGGGAAGTATGCCTGTTTTGGATACCAAACATTTTAATTGAGACATACTAGTAACCCTCAGGGGCTTTATACATACATATAATATATCATGGTCTCCCAAGGAGTAAAATGGGGTTACAAACAATTCCAAACTTGTACAAGATGTCATATGTGCCTTTAAAGAAAAAAATAAACAACAAAAGCATGTATCCTTTTTCTTTTCTTAAAAATAACATTATATTAGATAAATGCAAACAGGTACTGGAAAAAGGAAGTACTGTGACATGCAGGCACACAATGCCGTGTCTCAAATAAATTGAGTACTGGCCCAAAGAAGCCATATAGGCATATACAAATGATGAAAAAAAATAGAATAATAAATAAAATTTAGCAGGAAAGTTCACAAAAGTATATCTTTCAGAAGTCAACTATTTACAAGGATCAAACTCTGCTTTCTTTCAAGCCTCCAGAATATCGACGAGAACTTCATATACAAATATTATCCTAGGCATAGCTTCACTAAGAGATAACACATTGATTTTTTTTTTTTAACTAGCATTGCCCTCCCCTTCCCCTCCTCCACCGACAT